CGAGAGGATACAAGAGAAGGCGCTTCCATTTTCTAATTACCATTAGAGGCCTAGACGTTTAATCAGTTAAGTGAGATGGAAATATGTCTCACATCTGCCATTAATTGCAGTAGTGATGTTTATGAGAGGGAAGCGCCCTAGAGGAAAACTTTTAGAAGCTGTTTTTATCCTTGTTCTCCTGTTTCCTGTGGCTCTGCAGCCGCCTTGACACACTCTTCCTGTGCTTTTAAAGATCTATGAGGCCCTAGATGTAATCAGAGATGGGTTTTTGATCTATCTGTGGTTTGTTTTAAGCTTAAGTGTTGTAAAAGGAGAGACCTATTCTGTTATTGTGGTGTCTGTTTTGTGTGATTAGACACATTAAATCAAACAAAAAGGACACCTTTCGCAGTTCAGCACTGTAAATACTTTTTGTTTTATTTTCCTGTTAGTTACCTTTGTCTCTCTATCCTTCCTTCAGAGCTGCTGGAACTGTGGCCGTAAAGCCAGTGAGACGTGCAGCGGCTGCAACACGGCGCGCTACTGCGGCTCCTTCTGCCAGCATAAGGACTGGGAGAAGCACCACCATGTCTGCGGTCAGACCCTCCAGGCCCAGCAGCAGCAGCAGGCCAGCCAGCAGCAGGGTGGAGTGCCGGGGTCAGAGACCCCTGCCCCCATCAGCTCCTCCGCCTGCACCCCGAGCAGTGGGACTGGGAGTCCGGCTGCAACCCCCCCTGCTGCCACGCCTCGCTCCTCCACCCCCAGCACCCCATCCTCCTCTGCCCTGGAAAGCACACCGCGCTGAGACACTCAGGCGGAGGATGGAGGCAGAGGCTAACCATCCAGCCCTCAACCCCACAAACAGCATGACTGTAACATTGCCTTGGAAAGATACTAAGCTAACTTGGCTAACAGAAAGAGATGGCAATGCTTCTGTCTATCTTGCAGCGTATGTTCATAGAAGAAGGAGGAGGAGGTCCGTAATCAGGTCATATTGACTTGATTCTAAAGAAACACAAAGATATTCTTTGTTTTGAATGAATGAATTTAAATATTGACATCCTTTTATCGTTACACTTGCTATTCTTGTTGTCCGTTTGTTGTTGTGCCTGTTGTTGTTAATGTTGTTGTCATTGTAGCTTATCTTATTTTTTCTTGTAAATATTAAGAGACTGAGCAGAGATAGCCGTGAACTTGAGAGAAGTATACCTGACCTCCCCTTTTTTATGTTTTCATTTTTCCTCCTTGAATTATTTCCTCCCTGTTCCTGTGAAATGATAATACTCAACCTCATTTTACTAAGCAGAATACCAAGAGAACAAAACTAGCTAGCAGAATGAGTCATCAATTTTCTTTGTAAAGAAACATATCAGATTTAAATACCCTGAAAGACAACCGATGGATGGATAAACAAGTTAGCTGCTTGGAGAGAGGAGAGGGGTGGACTGGATCTCTTGCCCACAGACAGCCATGAAATGGGCATATGTGCAGCAGATTGCAAGCAGAGCCAGCTGTTCAACCAATGCTATTTCCCTCTCACTTGTAATAATATCCAGGTCAGTGGGCTAGGAAATACAAATCCGTCTCCCTTAAGGATGTTAAAGGAAGAATTATTGGACAAGATACAAAACTTTGCCCACTGCACATGTGGAGGATGTACTGACTACAATGTGCACGTGCATGCTTGGTGGGTCACAGAAGCTCTCGAACAGGAAGTGAAGTTAGTGCTGGAAACCTACAACATGGAGGACTCGGTAGGAAGCTCATTCTGCGCCCCAGACACCCCCTCTTGTCTCAACTCGGAAAAACATTTTCATCTTTCTTCATGTTCCTTTTCTTTTTCTGTGGATGTCATGGTGTTTAAGACTTCTGTCCTGTGGTGTCACCAATGGTTATTTATTGTATATGTGTTGGACAATTGTGACGATGCATAGTACTTCAACCAGTCACAACTCTAAGTCCCTCATAACTCACTCTCTCTCTAGCAAAAAGAGATAAAAAAATAACAAGTGTTACCTTTATTTCCAAGCTGCTTTTCTATTCTGTGTGTAAGTGGTAGATCCCTCGTAGTTCTCTAAGTTTTACTTCCCTTTGTCCTCAAGAAAAGACACAAGCTATATCTCAGAGCTGCTACTCGAGTCCGACCCAGATCTTTTCTGAGAACTAGCATGTTGCGCGGAATGCTAACCTAAATGTTTTGTACAAGGGACATACATAAATGTATTTGCACTGTCACAGAGGTTATTTCGGCATGCTTTTTTTCAGCATACTTGTGTTGTCGGTATAGAGCCATAACTCATCAACCATTTTTTCATGTAGTGATATCATTATTTTCACATTTTTTGGGATTGTGGGAGTCGGAAATATGTAAAATCACCCAACTCATTGTTTTTTCTTATCAACATGATAACAAAAGCGGCCATAACATAACGTTTTTTCTTTTAATAGTTACAGACAGTGCATGCACATTACTGAACGTTTGTTAAATACTTGTTATTTTTTTGAAAAACTGAAAAACCAACCAAAAAAAGTACAAAAAAATACAAAAAAATATTCTAACAAACTAACTTTCCAAATGCAGAAGTGTAGACTCCAACAGCTTTAACACTGCAAAGCACCAGGTAACACACAGTATTAACACAAGAGATAAACAAAACAAAAACAGCCAAAGACTGACACCAAGGACCAAAATCCTGAGTTAAAACGATTTTCAAAAGAGGTTTGTTCACACATATATTTGGTTATTTATTTCTGCAGGTTTTGTTCACACATTCGAAAACCACAACAGTGACGTAAAATGTATTTATTTTTAATACTTTCTGAAAACCAATGGCACTAATCTTACTATGTGAAATGAGAAGATGGGATTAAACATAATGAACTTTTTCAGCAGTGTTACAGTTTAACCGGAGCAATAATGAACACTGATGACTCCTGTGCCAATTTTTGGAGAAATAAACATTTTAGATATTTTTTAAACTTGTTTATACATGTTCTCATTACACAAAGGTCAGATGAAGTGCCCACTTCAGCTTTAAGCAGATTATTTCTATTTCGGAAGTAGGTGAGCATACAGGGCTTTCACAACAATGCCATTTGCAGTTCTTTTCTATTTATTTATATCAAAGTACATCATTTTTTTGCTGTTACGATAGATAATAAGTCACAGCTTTGTTGTAAACCTTCAATTTAAATCAAACAAACCTCTCATTCGCAGTAATAGAGCACTTATCCCGACGCACACAAAGGCTCTTCACCCCAAACACCTTGGTGCTACACAGAAGCGCGTTACAAATTCTGACCTCAAGGAACAAGTGGAGGCCCACAAAGGTTCAGGGCTGTTTGCTCCCTCTGTACTTCCTCATCTCTCCCTTCTTGTCTAAATAAAGTACACACCTGCATTCTCGACTCTAAAGGGTTAAACAATCCAAAAAGGTGTCTGACACCCTACTAGCAACTCCTCAGAAGCTGTGAAAAGACAGCAAAGCTGTTTTAACACTAGTGTATTTGAAAGTATAGAACAAGTAATGTGTGTATTCATCAATATCAGGGCAAAACCTGGATAAAAAAAAGAAATGAAGACAAACATTATCGTTCAATTGTTCTTTGAGAAGCTCTATTTTTTTCTTTCTTCCCTCCTCTATGTGTGTTTTGCTACAAATTCCTCGGTGGCAAACAAGTCTCACTCTACCTCTTACAGCACGATAAGAGCATCAGTCGCGGCGCTGATACTGGTCTAGTCTAAACCAAATGGGCACAAGAGAACAGGAAAATAAAAAACCCAAAGTCGAAGCTCATACAGCTGCAAAACCATATCACTACTTGGTAACAATGCAGACCTCATAAATAAATGAAACATAAATGAATAGAAATGAGAAAAAAAAACCTGAAAACACTTTTGTTATGTTCCTTTATGCCTGTGGCGTTTTTAGAGTACATCAAGAGTTTGAATTGTTTGAACAGATTTTAAAAAATGTGCTACTTTTAAATAAAAGTGTTGTTGATTCCTATTTCGATGATACTGTACAAGCTAGGGTGACAGACAAGAAATGTTTCTCTCTTGCTCTTTTATCTCTCCTGTTTCCCCTCCACTTTTTTCTCCTTTTCTCTTCTCTGTTGTGAAGACAAGCTAAAGCACTTGTCAACTTGTCAGCGAGAGTCAATTCAAAAGAGGGGGTATTCAAAAGGCAAAACCTTGTAAAAAAAAAAGTCAAAAAAGGAACATCATGGCTACAGTTTAGGCATGCCTGTTTTTCACAATAGGGGGACATATTATTTAAATGTCCTACTTATCAAGAAACTTTGGGGAAATGTATGGGGCCAACAGTGAAAAGTGAAGGCCGTAGCATTAAACTTTTGGGAGTGAGTTGAACTTCCGGGGTGGGAGGGTTTGTTTTTTGGGCTCTCTTGAGAAAAATATTGTGAAAAAAAAGAGCTCAAATGATTTGAAGTTGTTGTGCAATACTTAATTGAGACATGAAAACCACAGGTTAGTGGTAGGCTGACCCTGGGCGGTCTCTTCATCGCCTAGAGTCAGTGTCCTAGAGAGCTTTCCAGTCTACTATGTCAGAACTGTGGTTTCTTGTTGATTTATTTTCTTTTTGTTTCTTTTTTTATTTCTTTTTTGGGCTGTAAACTATGGTCTGTCAGTCTGTGAAACTTTGCAGTATAATTCTGGTATTGTTGTTCTCTTAACGGTGTAATAAATATGTTAATACCTGCCTTGGTGACTGAGACTTGTATTTTGTTCTTGACAGCAGGAGTCTGAAAGATTAGCAAAAAAATTCAGATAAACACAGCATGTCCCAAATGAATGGGGAGCTCCACTGATTTTACAGTTCCTCTAACATGTCACAAGTTGCATTGTAAGAAATAGTGATTGAATAATGAATGCCTCTCTATTCACCCCTCAATTTCCAACCATGTCAGGCCTTAAGGTCACCAAAAGAAACGCAAGGCGCTCTCTAGAGTTTGCTTTGTCCCCGGACTACGGTCGGCGGATTTTGTTTTCATTCGCCACGATGCCCACTGCGGCCCCCTGCAGCCCCCTTACGAAGGCCCGTTCAAGGTTATACGTCACGGGGACAAGAGCCTGGTGGTGGACGTTGGTAGCAGGCCTGAGACTGTGTCCGTCGACAGGATTAATCCTGCTCATGTGGACGTTTCCTGGCCGATGGAGTTGGCTCTGCCCCCACGTCGGGCCGTCCTCCAATGCCCCGCCCCCCACCCCCTGTAGGGAGGCCCTCACCCTCGTTGGCGCGCCGGGGTCGGGTGGTCCTTCCTCCCCGACGTGAGGATTTTGGCTATGGTTGAGTTCTGGGGGGGCTTGTGTCGTGGGTTGACATAATTAACCCACGGAACTATGGGTGGGGGTATTGTTCCGCACGGAGCCACGGACACTTAGTTAACAGGACTTCCTGTTTCCCCCGGTCAGTTTTCCCAGGCTTGAGTTTGTTTACATTCTGTTTTATGTCTAATAAAAGTCTAGTTTGTTCTTTCGACACACCGCCTCCGACTCCCGTCTCTCGGCACAAGATACAAAATCAGAACAGCAAGAAACCTGCAAGCCTACATTCGCTTCAAATAAGCCAAATCTGTTTAAGTGCTGCTTGTGCATTATTTTTAAATAAGACAACCCATTTTAAGATAGAACATAGACATGGTGAACCTCACCTTATACTCCGGAAATTATTTGGTCAGGGTGTGCTAGACTGTAGGGTGACCAGACGTCCCCTTTTTTCCGGGGACAGTCCCCGTTTGTATTGACCTGTTCCCGGTTGAAACTGTCCCCGGAAATGTCCCCGTTTTTTAATATACGTTAAAAACACATAGCAAGGTGAAATAAAACGTTTCATGTCAGGAAACACTGGGTAAACAGACTGTGGTCAAGCCAGCCCCCACTTCGAAAAACACAGTCAAGCCAGCCCGCACGTTGTATTGCGGTGCGCGAGTATCCTATGCATTACGGTAGAGGCATGTAAGTTTTTACATGCCTCTACCGTAATGCATAGGATACTCGCGCACCGCAATACAACGTGCGGGCTGGCTTGACTGTGTTTTTCGAAGTGGGGGCTGGCTTGACCACNCACACACACACACACACACACACACACACACACACACACACACACACACACACACACACACACACACACACAGCGCCTTTATGTACCCATCCCCCCAGAAGGATCACACCTGGCACACACAATACATGTTCAGTGTCTATTCTTTGTATATTTACTGCAGTTGTTCATGTATACCAGTAGTCTGATACAATATTTCCAGTTTGTAAGGGTGTTAAATGAAATTTGGTGATGATTAATGGTTGTGTTAATGTAATAGCAGTTAAAACAGGACCGGTCAAATTTGACCGTGAACACCAAAGTAAGGGGGGGGGAACGAACACAACAAGAGGGTTAATGTTGTGGCTTGTGAAGGTGGCGCTAAATGTATTCACTTCGTATACTGCGTTGTTGCTAAATCCATAATAATTCAGCATAATGTTTTACTTACTGTAATGTAAGTGCAAACCTGTCTGTCCCATTAGTTTAACCAGGCTTCGACACCTCAGTGTGCTGGACAATAAGCTGGAAGAGGTCCCTGCTGAGCTGGGTCATCTCACAAGTTTGACTGAGATAAACTTCACTTCCAATAATTTACCCTCGCTCCCAATGCAGCTGTACCAGTGTAAAGAAATAACCAAGTTGCATGTAGCCAGAAACAAGCTGACCAGCCTACCAGAGGTGGGTGTCTGCTGGTGTCATTTCTACTTTCTTATACTATACTCGCTGTACTTTTGACTGTACAGTGTGTCAGCTACATAACCAAACTCTACCTTACCTTTCACAGGGAATCAAGGCACTGACAAAACTCCAAGTTCTGGATGTAGCTGGGAACAAGTTGTCTATGTTCCCTGTTGAGGTGCAGTATACTGTGTTAGCTAATTCACCAGAGCATTGCTGTGTAATGAAATCTAAAAACCATCCCAGCTTCACTGAATAACACAGGACATTGTTCTGTTTAGTTTGACAGTCTGCCGCTGAAGGAGCTGTACCATGAGGACAACAGGTTTGTGCGCTGTGAGCCGATGTCATCAGTGCAGGATGTGGAGGTGCTTATGTTGAAGGTAAAGTCTCAGTGAATTACAGCAGATGAAACACATTTAATACACGTGTGAATGTTTTGTTATCTTACAATTCAATTTAGTTTCTTGCGGTCACAATTCAATTAAACTTTTTTTTTCAACACTGATTATGATGACTATGCTAACTCTTTGTTTCCCAGGAACTAGCTGCTAGGTTTGTCTTGCAGCAGGACAGGGACATGTCCTCTCTGGTCCACAGGATGCTTCCCTACTATCCTCCCCTGCCTGAACTGTTGGCCAATGGCAGCTGCTGTGCGCTCTGCCTGAACCCCTTCCTCACCACCTGGCTGGAGTGTGTGCATTTTGTCAGTGTGAACAAGGTAGGTTGAATGTTTTAGCCCTACTTAAAAGTATGACGACATTTTTTGAAACCTGCAATGGTAATCAAATAAACATTCAAAATCATATACTTGGACGAAAGAGTATGAACATGTTTAATCTGTAAAGTAACCTAAGCTTTCAGACCCATTAAGTGAAATAAAAAAGTAAATTCTTCTCTCTGATAAGTCCTGGAGACGAAGTTTAAAGTAGCATAAAATAGAAATGCTTAAGTAAAATTAAAGTTCTTCCCATTTTTAGTACGGCACAGTTCTAAATGTACTCATTAATATTCCACTACTGATTGTCTTGTTTTATGTTACAGGAGACGAAAATTAGGAGTTCAAAGACCATTCCAGTGCGCGCCTTTCTTTGTTCATACAAGTGCTTCAATACTGAGGGACATTCCTACTATGGTGTTGCTAGAAAATAAATAAAACTATTACAATTGTACAATTCATGATCTAAAGCACTATCCCATCTCGTTTTTTTAGAAACTTAAACTTTGGACACATGTCTGTTAAAATCACCCATTTCACAGCAGAACTCTTCAAGAACACATTCTGGTTGTAGTTAGATGTAAAGTGTATTAATATAGTTTCCAGGGTATACTTTCTTGTCCGTAAACTTCTCACAGATGCTATTTGCCTCTGTGGTCACTAGGTGGCAGCCAATGATCATTGAAAAATGCCTGGTCTGATCCTGCTTCAGTGTAATACACACTTCGAGAGATAAACAATCCTGCATTGCATACAATTCCTAATTACAGAGTAAACACTGCCCCAGCTGGATAGCAGATCTGAACATGGTGATTTTGCTTACTATTGTGTACTACTCACAAAACTTTAAAAACCTGTATAAACTACAGCTTTGTTTGTCAACGTTGAAAGGTCAGTGCAGAAATGAAACATAACTGATGACTCTGAAGGTTCTTCCTCCATGATTGTTCAACATTAACCTACATGAAGTTTGACCATTCAAATTCATATTAACGTATTATATTTTGAGTTGCTTGTACTAGGTGTTTGGGTTATTGTGTCTGCCCTAATTTATATCAATATGTGTAGGCAAAAAAATAGAAACACCTCTCTGTATAATGCAATACAGTTTTACAGCACAATAAATACTCCGAAATGATCACAAAGCTGATTCAACTCCTCTCTAAAACAGACAGACCGAACAATATAGCATCCATAAGGGTATGATTTATTGCAGGTCTGTTGTATTAGACTGAATTAGTTGTAGCTAAGTGTAACTAATAAACTGGTGTGAATGTAATGTCTCAATGTAAATCTAATGAGATCTTATCAGTCAGTGCTGATCAAACTGTACTGTGACTCCAAAGTTGCCCCATCTCTCCACCTCCATCTTCAGCCAGTGGCATCTGTTCCAACCTGCCAGACAAGAGAGAGATAGAGAGAGGGGGGAGGGAAAGAGAGAACTTCATTTCTAGCAAATTAATTTCCCATCCACGCCTCCAGAGCTTGCTAGCTCGTTCGCTGGCTGCTGCGGCCGCCGCTGCTGCTGCGTGTGTCTACTGAGTCGGAGCCTCATGCATAAGGCATCAGGTTTAATTGCAAACCCAGAAACTAATGACTTTGGACTGGTTAACAGCAGGGGAGCCATACATCTCGAGCAAACTGAATGAAAAATCAGCTCAGAGGAGAGAAAAAAAAGAGCCTAGCCCCTAATTGATGAATAATTGAAGCGGCGAGCTACAGGGCATAATTGTGACATTTTGTTTCAATCAATTTCCAAGTGGTGTGGGTGAAAGTGCACTTAAAAGGAAAAGGGAATGACAATGAATGAGAAAGAACGAGAGAGATAGGGAGAGTGGTTGGTGATGGAAATGGACATTGGGTCTTCAGTGACATTCTCTGGGGCAAAAGACCAGACTCATTCAGACACAAAATGACTTTTCTCTCCGTCTCCATTTCACTTTGTCAGCTTTCTGTTAGACTCTCACTTCTTTCACTTCTAGCCAATGAATCCATATACCTTTTCAGTAATTTCTTTAGTTCATTTTCACTTACCGTGTTCATTTAAAAAAAGTCAATTTCAAAGCTGCTGTCCATTTACAGCACAAACAAACTAAAGTGAGGCTGCCATCTGCTTAAGTAGATGTGTTTTAGTTTTCTGCAAAGCACAAATTCCTTTTTCCAGTCAGCTGAGTTAGTTTACTGTCAATTAAAGGATGATGGCATTGGGCCAAGTCAGTGTGGTGGAACTAAAACGCACACCAGTCAGTGTTACTGTGCTTAGTGGACAAACCCTGGGGGTCAGGCAGACAGAAGAGAAGCAGTCAGAGCCACTGAGCGTATGCATTTGCCCTATATACTATGGACTTTATTTTCAATAACTATAAAAAAAAATGGACAATACTAAAATGTATATTTTCAAAATTGCAGCACATCAATGCTCCTTCCGAAAAATTAAAATCATGTCCTCTCGTTAACAATGTACAGAACATTAATTGAGGATTTGACAACACACTTAGATTTGTGAAATTATATAATAAACCCTCTCTCCCACTGATGTCAGTTAGGAAGAGTCACGTTTTTCATTAGCCGTGAATAACGACACTAGGTACCATCATATTGCTCATTAAATTCAACGCTGGTCTATTTTAAATACACAGAATTTCACAGGGAAATGTTGCTTGGTTTCATACAGACTTTGCTCTCCTGCCTCCAGCAACAGGAAGAGAGCTGCATTTTACTATCTACATTTACACTTTTTAAAGATTTAACAACCATGACTAAGATTACACAGACACTGTTTTGTTCTAGGGTACATTTTTAGCATAAAATGGTACATCATTTCAATAAATATTCAAGAAACTGTAATTGTTTATGAACATGTCTGATAATTAGGTCATTGCATTCTGCTGGCACCATATTAATGGGTGAAAGGCCAACTGTACGGGCCTTCTTGAAATCAGCAGATGTTGAGTCCTGGAGCCGTGGAGCATCAGAAGCTCCGAGGCCCCGGGACCTGTCTGTCTGTCTGTCTGTCTGTCTGTCTGTCTGTCTGTCTGTCTGTCTGTCTGTCTGTCTGTCTGTCTGTCTGTCTGTCTGTCTGTCTGTGTGTCTGTCTGCCTGTCTGTCTGTCTGTCTGTCTGTCTGTCTGTCTGTCTGTCTGTCTGTCTGTCTGTCTGTCTGTCTGTCTGTCTGTCTGTCTGTCTGTCTGTCTGTCTGTCTGTCTGTCTGTCTGTCTGTCTGTCTGTCTGTCTGTCTGTCTGGTGTCCAGAGCATGTATTCACACATATACAGGCAGATAAGCAAATACAAATTCTGCCACCCACTCCTCATTGATGAAACATCGTCAAGACAATTCTGCCCCCATCGCTTTGTTTTCATCAAGAAACACTTTTCCCATATCAATCAGCTGTCCCCTATGATTGCAACATTCAGAGAGCCCTGTGTTTTTGTACAGAATATTCTTAAAAACCACGCTCAGCTTGATTGACGTCTATGGAAATGAGGAGGTTGCATCCTCAAAGGAGACACCATACGGATGGGAGCAGCACACTGACGAGAGGCATCTACAAAAGGCGCTTGTAAATTCCTGACATGCCTAGCATATGTTAATGAGCCATTCTCTCACTCTGATATAATTACTGCGAGGGGATATTGCCTTTGGTGGAAATATCTGTCTCGCTTGGCATGGCTACCTCATTGGGGTAAAAAAAAGTAAAGAATGACAAAGTAGCGGGGGCATACATTCTCATTTACCATGCTCGGAGGTAAAGAGAGTGATGTTGGCAAATTCACTCAGGATGATGTATTGGGGAGAAGGCACCTTGGTCTCATTACATTCCTCCTTTGTTAAAGCGCTTTCTGCAGTCTTGTATCGTTTGTTACAGGGTATTTAGTCTGACTTGTCATTTGGAGCACTTACTTAGGATGTCTGCAGAGGAACCTATGGCTGTTTGAGCTCACATTGCATCTAAGAGCTAGAAAGGCAAAGTATATGATAGCTAAAAACAGAACATAGGATGCTGGGAACAAGCTTTTATTTTAATGTATGTGATGAAAATGCTGCTGAAGGTCAAAATCAGTCTATTATACTCTCTGTATCATCAAGTTTCAGTACTACACTAAATCTATCATTTGCATGGTTGTCTTTGGTTGTATATAAATCTGGACTTTTCTTTTCTTACGCTTTAAGAACTTTGTGCAACTGGTTCCAGTAAAACAAAGCCCATCATGGTTTCCCTACTGCAACACTTTAACATGTTCAGTCATTTTCAGAGATCCATCAGAGCCATGATTGCGGTCTTCCCCTCAGAGAGATGATTTGACACCGGCTCACCCTGATTTCTCCTCTTCTCTCCTCGGGGCAACAGCAGAGGTGCTATTCAAATGAGTAGCATTGATTGCTGAATTAGGGGACTTGTGGCTGAAGAGAGAGAAAAACAGCCATTCAATAGCGAGCGGTAGGCTAGTGTCATAGCCAGGAGTGTGCACCACTCCAATCAGTAGAATCTATTGTTGTGCATTGCTGCCCATGACAGATCTTGGTATCGAGCCACTGGCAGAGTACCAGGGTATTGTCTGCTTGATGGCTGCACAATCAATTCTGTTGTCTTCCTAATGGCTGTGGACACTAGGGGGCAGTATGATTCTCCGCTGGCACTCCAGGGTTTGAGCAGAGAGATGCATTGATGCAAGGCAAACTGAGATATGCCTGAAGAATCCAAGGAGATAGAGAAGCTAATAAAAACAAGAACAATGAGCTCTTATTAGAATCCGAAGTTTAATTGAAATCCAAGCATCGGATCAGAGCAGTGTAACTCATGTGTGACTTTTGAATCTAAAAAGGGCAACCAAATGTGAGAAAAGGTGAAAGTTTGCATGCAATCATTGATGCATATCAATGGGAAGAAAGCGATGAAAAAGACACCAGATGTAACAATAAGTGTATCGTCCCTTAATCAAATCAACACAATTGAACAGAAGCGCATGAGTTAATATAGATAAAGAATTGAGAAAGATAATCTATAAATGATGGGATTTGAAGCATACCAGACTATAAAAAGATGCTACAGAACAAAGCCAGCCAGATGTACCAGTCTAATATTCGGCTTCCTTCTTCAAATTTTACACCCCAATAAATATAAATAACATTTGGAATTCAAGCAAGTAAACCGTCTGTCCTTTGAGGTTACAAGGAAGCAACGCCTTTACTTAGCGAATCCTCATTAGGGGGAGTTTTGAAACAAGAGCGGGGCCATCGGGCCAACAACCTCTCTCTGGCAGTTCTGGGTCAGCACCAAGCACAAAGCAAACACACCACTACAAAGCTGCATTTGGCAAATAAATAAGACAAAAACAGTGTTGTGGGAACTTCAAAAGAACAAATACATCTTTAATCTTTCATGTCTTTGAATCTCTTCGAAAGTTTCCTCGGGCTTGGTAATGACAGGGACCT